TTCTACTCACCTTGCCTGTGCTGCTCCAGTTTTATTCCCAGTTTCAGTTTTCATTCATTTTTACTTTCAATTGCTGCCGTGCCTTGGTAGAGCTTTCTTAGCTCAGCCAAATAATTGAATCAGGCCAACTGGGTCCCAGTATCCTGACCCCAAGAGTTCTTCTGTATAGCATTCTTTCCTCCCACGTATAAGGCAGGAGTGAGGGCCTATAACCTGACAATGTAAAAGAAGCCATTCTCTGCAAAACAAGTTAAAGAGGCGTATTCTGAGCCAAAGTTGAGGACTAAGACCTGGTGCCACACCCAAGAAGACTTGAGCAAGTGGACTCATGATGGTTAGTTTGGTTTTATAGATTTCAGAGAGACAAGAATTACAGGTAAAGTCATCAATCAAAACATAGAAAGCTTACGTTGGTTTGACCTGAAAAGATTGAACATCTCAAGGGGGAGGGAGGAGCTACAAGTTATGGATGGGTTTAAAGATTCTTTAGCTGACAACAGAGTTAGGCTTATGTTTAATAGACCAGGAATCAGTGAAAAGAATAGTTGAGTTAAGATAAAGGACAAGGTGGTGCCTGTGGCTCAGTGTATAGGCACCTAGGGTGGCGGGTTCAAACCCGACCCCAGCCAAATTGCAAAAACAACAATAACAACAAAAATAGCCCAGTGTTGTGGCAGACGCCTGTAGTCCCAGCTACTGGGGAGGCTAAGGCAAGAGAATCGCCTAAGCCCAGGAATTGGAGGTTGCTGTGAGCTGTGATGTCACAGGACTCTACTGATGGCGATAAAGTGAGACTCTGTATTAAAAAAAAAGAAAAAAAAAGATAAAGGTCTGTTCAGGAGTTTGAGGTTACTGTGAGGTAGGCTATGGCACTCTACCCCAAGGCAACAAAGTGGGACTCTCTCAAAAAAAGAAAAAGGAAAAAAAAAAAAGAAAGAGAGATAAGGGTCAGTTTATCAGGGACAAACTACTGGACAAATGCCCAGACCCATATGGTTTTTTTATGTATATTGAGGACTTGCAGGTATGGCTTGCATAGCCTGAGGCCTGTTAATGAATCACAAAGGACATCTCTGAGAAGGAAGGGGGGCATGATAAGGCCTGTCTGATCTTTCTCCTAGCTAGCAACTCAGTTTTAGGGATCCCCCTTGGCCAAGTGGGGGTAGGTCTAGTCAGTTAGCTGTGTGTGTGGGGGGGAGCCTAAAGGTTTTATGGTTTCAGTTCACACTACTATCAGACACGGTAGGACAGAGAATTTCTTTTTCTTTTTCTTTTTTTTTTTT